CTTTCGCGCCGGCGTCCCCGTAGAACGCGTCTATCGTCTCGGCTATTCGCATTTGGGAGGCCGTCATCGCTGGCAGGACTTAGTACCGGGCCCACGGAGTGTCGAGGATCTATAGGTGTGACCCTTGGCGTCGTGGTGGTAGCTCACCTCTTATCGAATCTAAGTACCCTCTCGCCTCCTTCTGCAGTCGCAGCGAGGCGGCCTCCATGGTGCGGAAGCGGCGCTCCTCGACCTCGTAATCGCGGTCGTTGGTCTTCTCGACATGGCCGGTCTTCATCATGACCTGCGTCGTCGCGCGGTTGACATTCTTCTTAAACCCTGAACGAAGTCATGGCGATCAGCGTGGGTCGGCCGTGGGGGTGGTGAATAACGGGGTGTCCATCATACCTGCCCACGACATGGCTGCGGTTGTGTCGGCGTCGCGATGCTTTTTCTCTACTCGTTCTGTCGCAGTTGCACAGCAAAGTGGCGTCAGGGGAAGTCAGGCGCAATAGCGAAAGGATATGTGCTGGAACGCTGGGCTATGTGCAGTTGGTTGGGTTGGTGTTTGGTGGTTGACAGAGTTGGGTTCAGTTGGATCCGACAGGAGTACGTACGGCACGGAGGGACCTGTGGCTGAGTCCGCGATGGATGGATGGATGGACGGACCTGAATTCCAGGTTGCAGGTTGCAGGTTGCCTGGCAGGCTCGGCGGGCGGGCAATGACGACGATGGGAATGCGCAAAACGGGATGGCCCGGGCATGAAAGACCGCTAATGGAAAGCCCGGCGCCCAAACGGACCTGACCCGAGGACGTCAGCAGGGCCTGCGCCACACACCATTCCAGGCCTGCCTGCCCATCCCCGGGGCCGCTGGAATCACTGGAAGCTGACTGTGGACCTTAGGTAATACGGACTGAACCTAACCTGCCTGCTAGTGTGGCTGAAGCTGTCAGTGCCTGTTTTCCACCAGGGTCTTCCTTCAGTCTGGACTCAATTCTACCAGGTATCCTTCTGTCCCCGGGTCTTCGCTCACAACCTTCACTCGTTCTTGTTGGACAGTTGACGTTACAACTGTCCAGATGGCTTCCCGCTGCCTCGTTCTCAGCATCGGCAATCCCAAGCCTTATCTAAATACACTGCACTCTGCCGGCCACTTCGTCCTCGCTCAAACTCAGCAAGCCCTCGGTGTACAGCAGCAACCCAATTTCCAGCCCCAGAAATTTGGTGGCCAGAGATGTTTAACCTCCTTCGGCGATCCATACACCATGGCCCAGAGCCCTACTCTGATGAACGTGACGGGGCCTTGGCTAGCCAAAGCTTATAAGGACTTCCTGAGTTCCAACATGCTTCAAGCCAGTGAGGCACCTCTGGTCGTGATACACGATGAACTGGAGGAGGCTCTGGGCAATGTACGTACGCGTCCGTGGAGTGCCAGCGCGCGTGGGCACAACGGCATCAAGAGCTGTCATGACAAGTTGCAAGCAAAACAATTTCAAGACCCTCACTGGTACCGGATCGCCATCGGCATCGGCCGTCCCCAATCGCGTGATGCGGATGCTGTTTCCGACTACGTTCTCAGCAACATGACGAGCCAGCAGATGAATGCGCTCAAAAAGCAGGCCGTGCCGAAGGTGTTACGCGCTCTTGACGATATACGATCCAACATATAGGCGAAGCCTTGTCACAGATGTTTGGAGTTCAGCAACATTGGAGAGCTAGGACACCAGCTTCCGGTCTGCAATCGCCACGGTAAATAGAAAAGAATACCCTGCCTGGCTGCAATCTCGAGAGCTCCCCATGGCACCCCCGAATCTTTGTTCCCGCTCTGTTCAGTCTGCCAACCATACGAAACACCCCATCAAGAACGGCCATGGGTCTCTAGAATGTCGCCTTTGGGTCATTTTCTCTTTACCTACAGCTATTTGCATAGCCGTATGGCATCATTCCGGTCTAGGGCAAACCTGCTACCCAAGCAAAATACAGTCATGTGCAAACCTCGTGCTAACAGTTCTGAAGAGTCAAGTCTGCATGTTCTCGTCCGATGTATCCCTACGAAGCAGTGCCTTTCCGAGCTTGCTATATTTTGCTTCTCCTTGCTTTGCTCAATTGCGAACTGAAACTGGTCTTCATATAGGCAACGGACACCCAAATCTCGCAGTTTCTCTACCTGTGGATAATCTGTCGTAAGCCTTTGAGTCTCCTTTCTTACTGCACACCGTTGACCGTTAAAGACTGACCGCTTTATGGTGAGCACCTTCCTTTGGCTGTTGCACTGTCATCTGCATACCTTAGGCCAGAGCAGGGCGTGCAGGGCTTGCGATGGGTCTTTCCTGCAAGTATCCGTACTCGTCTTTTTACCACTAGGCAGCCGTCATCACAATAGCAAGATATGAGGCCATTCACTAGGTAGGCCATTCACTACCGCATTCAGTGCCACACCCGCCTGACTGTTCGTCTGATTTCCCATTGGAAGAGGGGGCGGGGTATTGATTGGCACTGCCTGAATAGGCCTTCTGGGACAGCTGGCAGCGGTTCAATGCACCTATGATTCCCTCTGATCAGGCGAGCGACACCGCCTGAGAGCAAGCGGTTCCAGCCCATTGGATACCTACTTATAGGTACGCTGTTTGCCTGGATCCTTCTAAGCTAAACTACTAATTGTCATTCTTCCTAGGCCACTGCTTAACTGCCTCGAGAGCTTCGTTTCTTCCACCTTTTCAATCCCTCCACCCCCCCTTCCCAATTCCCCAAGCTTGTCATTTTGCTCATCACCCAATTTTGCTGTCCCAGTAGCGACACATCACCGACTTCTGGATCTTTTGCTGTCCCGCGAGATCATCCGCAAAGTCCAGGAGCTGTCACGAAGTGTTAGGTAATCACAGGCTGTATATCCTCGAATGCCTTTCAGCAGATGCTAACTCTTGCGTTCAGGTTTCCCACAACACTCAGTGTGTGCTTAGGTGTGCAACTTTGTTTGCTATCCAACTTTCCTCAGTCATTGTAAGCCAGTCCATTCGATTGTCACCAGTCGATGATCATACGTGTCAATGGCTCACCAGAAGAAAGGCCACCCACCAAACATCCTGAGATCCTAAATTCGCATTTGCAGTACCTTCGCATCTGCCTCCACATTCTCATCCCTGTCGACCTTGCTGCATACCTTTCAACTTCCTTGATCCTGAGATGTCAGAGCTGGAGGTGCAGCTCAACGAGCTAGAGAGCTCCGGAAAGCCTCTATGGAAGCTTCAGCTTCCAAGAGAGCACCCAGTCCCCCCTTCCGAATACATGGTCGACGATATCTGGGACGACGCCATCATGGGATTGGACTCGAAATGGCGGATTGCCATCTACTCCAGCTCAACTGAAGAGTTCGAGAAACTAGAGTTGGCACACGAGGCTCTGAAGAAGTTGAATCTCTACCGCGACCCTGCGTGGCATAAAGACGGCGCAGCGATGTTTCAAGCGGTCGAGCTTCCCCCGCTCGAGCAGGCCATCGCTGTGGTATGCATGCAGTCTGTACTGGCGAACCTCGACTTGCAACGTTCCTTCGAAAGCCCGCCCCAGCTGGAGCACTACCGCTCCGACTTACCGGGATCCATTTTCCTGGCCAAGTTGGATGACGCGTTGGCCCAAATACTGAAGAAGATCAAGAACGCCGAGCTCAGAATGAAATACAACGCGCAGATTACTAAGATGTCGATGAAGCTGAAGTCTAAGCGGCATCGGAGTCAAAAGGGAGAGAACTCCTTGGAGCAGGGCATGGGTCGTCTGACGATCAAGAGCTCGCCGCTCTGTAACGCCACTTCCATCGATGCCATTCCCGACCCCGAGGACGACCCAACCGCCGATGACACGAAAGATGATCGGGCGGCCGAATCGCACGAGGACTCTTATTCCGATCCCCGAACACACGACGCATGGAGTTCCAAGGAGCCAGAATCGTGGTGGGGATCGACGCAGTCCGAAAACGAGAAGGCAATGAGCGGTGCACAGAACGAGCTGCCCACCAACCCAGATGATGACTCTACCCGGGGTACGTATAAGTATAACTCCTGGGGCTATGACGATTCTTCTGGGGTGTGGTCCTTCCTGAAAACCTACCGTACTAAGTCGGCATCTTGCGCGCCAGGCCACCCACCCACCGAATCCCACTCGACTTGGGATAACACTTGGAGTTCGAACGGATCGGACCCGTGGGTGTGCACTGGCTCAGAGGTGTGGTCCCAGTAAGGCTACGAACACATCACGTCGTATGTTTGCCGCACCGACGGGCTTTCAGAACAGATTGGTGAGGATCGATTGGGGGTTGATCGGAGGTTGAGAAGAGGTAGGACCGGACTGTTTACCATATGCTATGGAGGTATAGACAATGGTTCTGGAAACACAGGAAAAGGGACCGGATGGAAGCAAGCGTCGTTTTACTACCAAGTATCATCAGTTGCTGATACTGCTGCAGAGGCGGGTAGCCACAGACAGGGTAGACTAGAGTGCTGGAAATGCCTGGGTCGCATGAGCTCCGCTGCCGGACCTCTTGACCCTCGTTGCGACAGTACTAGGTACGAATCTTGATGAATGAGGAACATATTTATGTACCCCAGGGCACCTGCGCCTGGCGAAGTCTCTACCTCATCGCTAAGAGGACATCAAGATGTGACATGGTGAATGCTCGTCGCTGTCACGAAACCATCAAGACCGTCTGAGCCCATCTACAGGCAACCAATTACGATCAATGGTGTGGTTGCGTGAGACCGAAAATGGCAATGCCTCCACCATGAGCCCTGGAGGCGCTTTAAGCTTCCCCACAGAACCACGAGATCACCATTTGCACAAAAATGCAACAAGACGCGCCGCGACACTCGCTCGACCGGTTCAGACGGCTGGTTGGCGTGCGTCCGCCATGTTATTGCGTCGACGCGCCAGTTGCCACTAGATGCACGCCATCCCCAGCCCAAAAAGGTACACCTGCGTCAAGACACAGTCCAGGCAGCGCGGTTCACCCAAAGCCAGAGGAAAAAGTGAAGGTCCTGCTGAGACTCGAACTCAGATTATTGGAAAGATCCGGAAGCTTGATGCATCAGAATCCAATGTGATAACCGCTTACACTACAGAACCGTAAAGTAATCGTAAACGTACAACACCGGGGATTCGCTGGTCGTCACCGACCCAACTACTGATCCAGCGGTATCTGGCTTATCTATGGGGGAGCGGACGGGACCCCGAGTACTCCAGATCCTATGGTCGTACGTGGCAGGATGGCCGCTTGCGGTGGTACTTGATAGATGGGTAACGGTGGTGGGCGCGCGATCGTACGGTCGTTTGCTGGACACACACGAACTGTTACTATTCATCAGTGGGACGGGCTTGGAAGGTGGGGCGGGTGGGAATTGCTGCATCTTCGCTGTGGACGACGATGCGTCAAGTACAGCGCGAATCGTCAATGGAGGCGGCTTTCCTCTATCGTCGGCAGTTGTTGTCTGCGTCGGTTGTCAGAAGTCAAGGCAGGAGTGGGCGCGAGCCTGCCGACCCTGTCCCCCGTTGGACGTTTGGGCTCTTTGGCGAGGGATTGCGATTCTTCAGCAGCGCTGCACTGCCTTGCCACTGCCAGCTGTAGATCTGGTAATGTGATCGCACCGAACGACGAGCTCTCCACTTCGTAGCGGGCGAGTGCGTGCTTCGAAGTTCGGCGTGTTAGGGTGCGGTCGGAGAGTCATCGGCGCCAGCGTAAGGGATGTATCGAGGGGGATTCGTGATCGACGACCGACTGCGCGCGAGCTCGTATATTTGCGCATTGCAAAAGCAAGAGGATCTGCAGCTGATATCCTCAATGGGGTCCAGCGAATTGAAGGACATAATATGACTAGGTAGGTACAGAAGAAAGCATCGGCTGGAAACGGGCGCGCTATCATTGCCAGACTCCGTCGAGTCGGGACGGGCGACCTTGATGTGTTACTGAACGGAAGGACTGCCCGGGCGGCCTCCTGGCGACTGCGAACGCTGGAGGGCTTCATCCTGTGACGAGCTAGACCTCGCAGAGCTCGAGATGGTCACGAGTGTTGTGCGCAAGGGAATCGGGGCTGCTTGGTCCAAGGGGAAAGCGGCAGGTCTCACATATTGAACACGGTGATCCGCGCTTACCTTACGATGTGGTGTTGCGCCCCGCGTACCTCCTTGATCGAGACTTCAAGTCACCTGACAGTCAAGCCGTCTCAATAATATGTAGACCTATTCTATGTCGAAGCTTGAAGCTTGGTACACCTTCGGTAAATTTGCGCGGGCGTTCATCTCATGAGGACGACCTTTCCCATTGCCCTACTGCAAAGAAAGCCACCTTAATATGAGCTACAACGGTCCAGTTGACCCCGTTCCATCAAACTTGTTCCCTTTCCGGGTGAGAATGTCCCTTGCACCGAACCTGCGGGACAGCGGGTGGCATGCAGGTACGTCTTCTGCTGTGATACGTGTTACCACCCCGAGGTAATGGGTTCTTGGGCCTTGAGTTGGATCTCAACTAACCTCCTTCTCCAACTGGACCCTGATGGGAAGTAGCCGTGCCAAGCTAGGTATTATTACATAGGTACGGTAGCAGTGTTCCAGTACAACAGATGTGGCGGTATACAACTCGGAAGAGGGTGGAAATAGGCTAATGTACGGGCGGTCATATATAACAACCCTCCATCCCCAATCATGCTGGGTACTGTAGGACAAAATGGCGAAGCTTCATGTACTTGTTTACTCTGCCGTGATCGCCGTCGTTCGCGGAGCGATCACATTCACGGTCCCCGAAAAGGCTCACACGGGTAACTACAAGTACACCACTCTGGACCCGGCACCAGTTGGTATCTCGTAAGTCTCAAAGAGGATGGGTTAATGGGTATAGCGCTAAGAACGGGACGTGTTCAGCTTCGAGTTCTTCGCGTTCCCATCGTACTTCACCAACGTCAGTGCGACCGAAAAATGCCTCTCGAACTGGAAAGACTTGACAGGAGTCTGGCCTCCGATACGCATAGGCGGCACCACTCAAGATCGCGCGCAGTATGATTCGAAAACGTCGGCTTACGTGGTTTATTCTGTTTCAAACCCTGCCGATGCACCTACTAGTTTGACCTTTGGGTCGAGCTTCTTCACCCTTGCGGGGGAGTATGGCGGAAGTGTCGTGGTAGGCTTGAATAGGGGCAAGAACAACATCCAGAATACCATCGACGCAGCCAAGATGGCTGTGGGTGAAATGGACAACTTACTAGCGATTGAGTTGGGAAATGAGCCTGAGTGTACATCTACCTTTTTTCCTGTGGCATATGTGTGCCTGAACTGACCTGAGGTTCTCGGCTTGTCACAGACTACCCCAACAACGGGCAGCCGATCGCGTCTGGCTCCTGGTCTCCCGAAGTAGATGCTCGATCTCAGAACAACTGGGCAATCTCCGTTGGATCTGCGATGGGCAAGAGACCAATCATCCAAGCCGGCAATTCCAACGACTCACCTCCTAAATGGGGCGCAGCTGAGCTGATCGCGACGCAAAACGACACGGTGAAGCAATACGTGAAGACGTATGCGCACCACAACTACCCGGGCGGCAGCATATCCTCGCTGATGAGCCACGGGGGCATCGCGAGCAACCTACACAAGTTCGACGCGGACATCGCCGCGGCTCTCCAGGAAGGGAAACAGTACGTCTTCGGCGAGACGAACTCCGGTGTGTCCCCCTTCCTCCCTCCCTACTTCCTCCTCTACTCCTAAACCACACCCCTAACGCAACCCTCCCCTCAGTATCCGGCGGCGGCGCCGCCGGCGTGTCGCCGACCTTCGGCGCTGCGCTGTGGACGCTGGACTACGCGTTGCGGGCGACGTGGAGCAACATGTCGCGGACGTACTTCCACCACGGCACCGTCGGCGCCTGCCAGTACTGCTTCTGGGGGCGCTACAGCATGGGCGCGCCGTACTACGGCGCGTACGCGGCGACGGCTTTCCTGGCGCGCGCCGCGTCGCTCGCGGCCCTCGACGACGGGGCTGACGGCTACGCCGCGTACGTCGCGTTCGACGCCGACGGCGAACCCCTGCGCGCCTTGCTGCTCAACTCGGACTACTTCGCTGGGGGCGGAGGGCGCGGCGGGCAGGAGTTCCGGTTAAAGGGTATCGGAGGAGGCGCCCGAGAGGTCACGGCGAAGAGGTTGACGGCTGATAGCGCGACGGCGAGGGTGGATCAGGGTGGCATGGTCACGTTTGGTGGCCAGACGTTCGCGGATGGGAGCTGTGAGGTTGCGGGTGAGGAGATGCTGGAGACGCTGGAGGTGGTGGATGGGACTGTGACGGCGGATGTCAAGGCGAGTGAGGCTCTTCTTGTTTATTTGCAGTGAACATCAGGTTGGTATAGTACCAGGATGTCCATTTAAGTGGACTGACGTAGAATGAATCACTCGTTGGTTTGATTAACCCCAGGGAAGCTATCACTGCTAGCCGTAAGGGAAAAAGCAGCATCCAGAGCGGACGACAGTTCGAGGGCACGTATTGTTTGACGACCTTGACGACCTTGGAGGCTGCAGCAGGCCGGGAGTTATTCTGACGTCAGCAGAATTCTCGGCAAGCTGGGGAGCGCGGCACCGGGCGAGCTTGGCAAGGCGGTGAGAGTGGCGGCAATGGCAATGGCTTATCCCGCTGGCTTATCAGCTTATCGGTTATCAGCTGACACTGCCGGAAGGTTTCAGAGGTGCGATGAGAGGACGAAAAATTCGAATCGCCCCCACCGCCAGGCGTGATTCAATTCAGCCCACGACCTGACAGAGCACAGCGCCCCGGCCACACAGCCCACAGCCTACCCACGGCGCACCGCTTGCAGCCCAAAGCCAAAAAAAGTCCACACTACGTAGTGCACCGCAGCCGCCCCTCCCTCCTGCTATCTACCCTCCTCCCACCCTGCAATTGGAATCCTCCCACTTTGCAACACAGTTCTTTCCTCCCCAACCATCAATCTCCCTGGGTGACGTTGCGCTTCTCTCGACTATCTCTTGTCTTGAGATTCCACTGAAGTCCCCTCGTTAATTCCTTTGGGATCCCGCAACTCCAGTGATTCGATCTGCTGGCTTGATCGCATTTGCTTGTGATCCAAGCGGGGTTGACATCTTTCTGCCTCGAGTCTCGAGCACTCGCATCCGCCCTACCTACCCTACCACCTTCATCACCAACACCACTTCCCCCATCTCCACCAACCGTCACCATGGTTTCCGCCTCCAAGGAGAAGCGTCTCGCTAAGAAGGCCGCCGACGGCAAGGGCGAGAAGAAGACCCTCGCCTCCCGCTCCAAGGCCAGCTCCAAGGCCGCATCCAAGGCCGGTTCCAGCGCCGGTGACGAGAACCCCCCCGACCCTGACGATGCCGGCGACGACAAGGTCAAGCGTCTCGCCGACCAGAAGGACCAGCACGGCTTGTCCGACCGTATCACCACTGGTGTCTTGGCCTCCATCCCGAGTAGTAGGGACGTCAAGATCATCAGTGCCAGCTTGACTTTCCACGGTCGCGTCCTCCTCAACGAAACCGACCTCGAGCTGTCCTTCGGTCGCCGCTACGGTCTTCTGGGTGAGAACGGCTGTGGTAAGAGTACTTTGATGAAGGCTATCGCCGAGCGGGAGTACCCTATCCCCGACCACGTCGACATCTATTTGCTTAACGAGGGTGCTCCGCCGTCTGACCTGGGTGCTCTCGAGTGGGTCGTCAAGGAGGCCGAGAAGGAGATGGAACGTCTCGACAAGAGGGCTGAGGAGATTCTGGAGGAGCAGGGCCCTGATGACCCTATCCTCATGGACATCTACGAGGTAAGCTCTGCCTAGAAACAATGTAGTGAAGGTCCTGGAACGACATGCTAACTATGCCAAAAGCACATGGACAAGATGGACCCTTCCACCTTCGCCACCCGAGCATCCCTCATCCTGACTGGTCTTGGTTTCAACAAGCAGACCATCCACAAGAAGACCAAGGACATGTCCGGTGGTTGGCGTATGCGTGTCGCTCTGGCCAAGGCTCTCTTCGTCAAGCCCACGCTACTGCTGCTCGACGATCCCACCGCTCACTTGGATCTTGAGGCCTGTGTGTGGCTGGAAGAGTACATGAAGAAGTGGGAGC